ATTAAAGCATAGTGATGAATCAGAAAAACAATAGTGTTTTCCGATAGTCTTAGGCAACCCCGGTGAAAGGGTCATTCGACCCCCAAAGGGGTCGCGACCCACAGGTTGAGAACTGCTGCACTAGAGATTTGCTGCGGGAGTGCACTGACCACCAGGGGGCAGCTTTTTCATTGAGTGTCTGTCCCCAGGTTTATATATAGAGATGGGAATTATTTTCACAAAGATAATGTTATTCCTTTAACAATATAAACATCTAAGAATAAGTGTATAACTTACTTTTAGGATCCATTTAAAGGCAGACTTGTGGAAATAATGACAAAGATTCAAACTTTTTGCCAAATGAACCCAATGCCAGATTTTGGAACTCAACCCTATGAACAATGGACCATTAAAATGGAAAAAAAAGGTAATTGGGGTTTTGATCTAACATTTAGTTTATCCCATGTTTATGCCAAGATTTCAGATGACTATATCACATATTCCCAAAAAAACTGAAAGCAGATGGAATTTCTGTGTTCTAAGTAGGACGAGGTTAAACATCCTAATTCCTTAGATAAGGAAGGCGGCATCAATTCATCCAGTTTCTTTTTATCACCAGTCTTTCACTTATTGTATATTTAAAATATTACGATAAAAATTAACAACTCTGTCTCCAGTTGCAAGCTCAACTAATGTTTTTTGTTGTTGTTTTTTTGTTTTTGTGTTTTTTTTTTTATGCTGTTCCTCTGACTCGCTTAGATCAGGTATGTGTTCTTGCTGATGCAGAACTCAAACAGCAAGTGTCAGAGTTGGACAACTTTCCCCCCTTTTAAGCTCTCGGCATATTTTGAGTCTTGCTTTCTCATTTCAGAAACAAGGTGAAACCTATTTTAGAGTTGTATAACAAACATATTTAAGTCCACAGCACAGTATTAAGGGGGGTGTTTGATCATTATTTCACTCTACATACTGTATTCTTTCATAGCTGCAAGAGAAGGAAATCGCAAAGACCGTCTCTGTACAGAACACTTGAGGAAGTACAATGAGGCCCTGCAAATTAATGACACAATCCGAATGATTGATGCCTATAATCACCTTGAAACTTTCTATAAAGATGAGAGAGAAAAGAAGTTTGCAATCCGAGAGGATAGTGATGAGAGTGGTGACAATAGCGATGATGGTGATGAAGGTGGGAATGATGGCAAGAAACCTTTGAAACTGGATGACACCGACAAATTTCTCATGGATTTATTTTTTGGTAAGAATCAATGTGACATTTATTGCATGGTCTCATGCACTTTACCTCTTTGGTGTGAACTGTTGCTTTTTAAGAGCTCTCCAAAAGGCCCTCTTAACATATTTCATTTTGAAAGGAGAACTCCCACTCATATTGGGGCTATTCTAGTTGATAGAACCAGAGTAGCCATGAACTGTATGATCACAATCACTAATTTGATCCTGTAAATTTTGGTCAAGGTGACTGCAATATATTTATTAATTTTAAACATATTTTTATTGATTTCAGAGAGGAAGAGAGGGAGAGAGAGATACAAACATCAGTGATGAAAGAGAATCATTGATGGGCTGCCTCCTGCATGCCCCCTACTGAGGATTGAGCCAGAAACCTGGGCATGTGCCCTGACTGGGAATTGAACTGTGACCTCCTGGTTCATAGGTCAATGCTCAACCACTGAGCCATGCTGGCTGGGCACATTTTTTAAGTAGCCTGATTATTAGATATAGATAAAAGATTAGCTGTAGTTGAACTCAGTGCTTCATTACATAAAATCTTCCCCTGTAACCATATATTTTACTAATTTAAACTAATTATTTTTAAAGATAACAAGAAAATGTTGAAGAAACTGGCTGAAAACCCAGAATATGAAAATGAAAAGCTGACCAAATTAAGAAATACCATAATGGAACAATATACAAGGACTGCGGGGTCAGCAAGAGGAATAATTTTCACAAAAACACGACAGAGTGCATATGCCCTTTCCCAGTGGATTACTGAAAATGAAAAATTTGCAGAAGTAGGGGTCAAAGCCCACCATCTGATTGGAGCTGGACACAGCAGTGAGTTTAAGCCCATGACACAGGTATAAACACCTTTTTGGACTGCTAATCTTATACTGTCATTACTCTTCACAAACTACTTGTTGTCTTTCTTTTCATCAATTCCCTCACCACCCCACAAATAATTTTATGGAATGAAGCATTTGTTCTTGAAGTAAAATGTGAGTTTCATAGCAATCTAACCTGTGGTATTTGATAGGCTGAGCATTGTCCTAGGAGTCATTCTTATCCACATACTTGAAGGAACTTTCTAAAATGAGTTTCCTTTGCAAAAATGATTGACACTGAAACTTAGAAACAAGATAGAAAAAATGGTTGCAATATAATTATCAAGTGGAAAAATCCAGTCTCCTCAAACATATGTGCATTATAATTAGAACTATGTAAAATATGTTTGCGTAGCATGAGATCTGTAAGGGAACTTGGAAAATTTTAAGACATTTGATGTGTTAGAGATTTGGGATTATGAGAGCTTTTCCTTTTTGATTTTTTTTGTTTTGTTTTGTTGTCATTTCATTATGCTACCTCTCATGTGCACAGTAAAAAACACTTGGGAGAGAAAAAAGGCACTTGTAGATGTTACACGCATGTGGCTTGTTAGAGTAAAATGTTCTCCTAAAGTCATCTTATTCCCGAATCTTGCTGGACAACAGGGCACTTCAACTCTCATATGGTCATCACCATTTGCTCCAATGGAGCACATTAAATTTGTTTCAGCGTTTGCTGAACAGAAAGTTCTTGAAATTGTCCACTGTAACTCTTAACATACTCTCTAGATCAGAGGTTCTCAACCTGTGGGTCGCGACCCCTTTGGGGGTCAAATGACCCTTTAGCAGGGGTCGCCTAAGACCATCGGAAAACACATATACAATTACATATTGTTTTTGTTAATCACTATACAGTTATGAAGTAGCAACAAAAATAATTTTATCGTTGGGGGCCACTATAACATGAGGAACTGTATTTAAGGGTCCCCGCATTTGGAAGGTTGGGGAAGTCTGAAGTAATGCCTGAGCCCATGAGAAAATAAACAATGTCTC